TGTTATATACAAAAAATATACAAATTTTATATTTGTTTTGGCTACCATATATAAATAGTTTCTGGAGCGGGCTAAATGTGATATTATCCCATTATTGTCCTCTAATTCCTATTGTTTTTCCTTTTTCTTTGTATCTTTATTGTTTTCTTTTAAAAAATGACCAAAATGAGTAGAAGAAGTAAAAGGGAATGAGTAAAGAATATTCAGCTCTATTGAACTAGATACCTTTTCTTTATGCTTTTGTGCGTAATGGATTTAAAATATTAAAGAAAATTAAGAATTGGCTTCCTTTAAATAATTTATTTTATTTTCCCACTTTACTTTATCCTATTTCTTTTTAAAATATTTTGTGGGTATTCTTAAAAGTACACAATTTTGTAGAAGAAAATGAAGAGAGAAAGGTAAAAAAAATAATATTAATCAGCTTTTAAAACTATCCTAGAAAAATAGCTAATTAACTATAGCAATATGGTGTTACCGCAAAATGTTAAAATAAATAAAGTTATCTCCATATTACCTATAAGTCACGTCTTCGAGCCGTAATTTTATCCACTAATGCTTGCATTAGGGCAGATTGGCTATATCACACTCTTGTCTCCGTGTGAGCTATAGGTCACAAATTCGAGACGTACAATCAGTTACTAATCTTGTATTAGGATAGACCATTTACATTATGCCCTTTAAAGCACGACTTTTCTACGGATCATGTGTGAATACGAGATATTTTGTGCACCGGACTACTTTTTACTAAGTCCTACAAATGTTGTAATGCACCAAATTCACCTCTTGAGCTTAAAATCACCAAATTCATTTAAAAACCCTCCTAAACAAATATATGGTCAACCATGAAAATTTTGGTCAAAATCAATTAAATTTTGTCGTTATAAACTTATAATTTATTCTGTTTCCCCATTTCATCAAGTATTGAAAACCATTCCACCATATGGGTACTGTTCCCTAGGACCTTTGTTTTTTTCTTATTTTTTTATATAATTTTGGAAAATATTAAATATATATTATTTTGTCCTCACTTCTACCCCTTCCCTAGGAAAAAAATGGTTTTTGTGTGTGGGGTGGGGGGTGGGGGGTGGGGGGAGATATATTACTCCATGTTACGTAAAATTCAAGAATATGGGACATTGATACACATACAATAAAATATTATTTCTTCTGTTTATTTTATTTAATACTATTTTTATTGAATTTTGGAGACTCAAATAACCTTTTTTTATTCATAACTTTATTTATATATGCGTATTAAATGCTTTTAATTATAAAAAATGCAACCTATAGAACATTTAATGCAATCTATAGAACATTTTACTATGTAATTGTTATTATTATTTATGAAATATCAATTATTTGGATACTCGTATGTCGAATTCATTAGTTTTTTTTTAATAAAAGAACAATAACTTTCTATTAAAGAAAGAAAAAAATATCTTTTCATTTATTCAAGTTTTGGTCGATAGAATTACTAAGACCTGCACCGATAAGATATTGAGGCACCATGTAGAGTTGAGGTACGCGTAAATCGGCTCGGATCAAAATTATTGAAAAAATGGAAAGAATAAGAAAATGGATACGAAAAGATAAAGATGATAAGAACTTGAGCTAAGAGTTGACGAATAGTAAAATAAATTGTCTCTTTATGTTTGGAATCTTTCACTTTTTTTAATTGTACCAAATTGAAGTGGTTGTTTTGTACTTTTACAGATGTTAAAGGGCTTTAATAGTTCATTTAAATGGAATTTTGGGCCCCATTGCAATTTAATGGTTATAAGCCTAGTAGCAGTATGCCTACTCCCCTATATTTGTTTTTTGTCCCCCTATTTTAAGTCAAAATTACCAACTTTCCCCTATTTATATATATCCATAATTTGGCCTTTTTTCCCATTTTAGCACTCACTTTTTAAAGAGCTAGTCTTATTAGTGTACGTGCGTTGCACTTATTTATTGCATCAATAATAAAAAATTATTGATAAAATATATTTTTCACCGTATAAATAATATTAATATCATGTTTTAATTGAATTAAAAGAGTTTCGATTAAAAATTTTGAACTAAATATTAAATAATGTGTCAGCACAAGTTGCTTCGTATTTACACAAAATTGTAATTTTAGCAACAAAAAAAGAGTTAAAGCTTATACTATTTAAAGAATACTAATATTTTACTTTTCACTTTTAATTTTTTTATAAGTTATTAGGTCTTGATACGTTTTTTTGTCTTCTATCTTTTCAACTTCAATTTTTAATCCACCAACTTTTATAATTTCTTGTAACACCTATACAATTAAATGTCTTCCAACTTGATGTCCTCCATTTATTGTATTAAGTTTGAAAAGAAAGACAGAAATTTTACCTACGCTCGTGACTATTTATAATAAAATTTGTTGTTAAAAAAAGCAGGTTAGGTAAAAGTAGGGTTGTGCACGGATCAGATTTAGCATATTTCGGATTCGAATTTCGGATTTCGGATTTTAGAAAATGCAATCTGAATTCGATCCGAATTATATTGGATCGGATTTTAAAGTTTGGATCAGATAGGATATCGGATCGTATTATTATGCCTCAAAGTTAAACTAATATGTATATTTTCTTTATAAAAGAGGCAATACATTAAGAAAAATTCATGTTTATGCAATTATGAGAGTACTATGGTGCCAATATAGCTAAATCTAGCAATTGTAAAGGTAATAACTTGAGGTTGATGTAAATTAAAGTGTAGTATTTATACATGTCCTAATAATTTCGGATTTCGGATTGGATTGGATTAAAATATACCAATCCGAAATCCGAAATTTTAATAAACATAATCCGAAATCCGATCCAATCCGAATTCCGAAATTCAAAATTGAATGGATCGGTTCGGATTTTGGATATCTGATCCGAATGAACAGCCCTAGGTAAAAGTAAGAAGTGTATACATATATAATAATTTAAAATTTAATTGCTTCATTTTCAATCATAGGTGGTGTTTAGTTTTTGATATATAAAAGGGACATACCTAAAAAAATTCTTAAAATTTCATTTTTCATGAGAAGGCAAGAAGACTTTAGTATTTCATGTTATATTTTTCTGTTAAATAAAAAAACTCATATAATTTTATGGGGAAATCAGAGTTCAATAGATTAATGAACTTCTTTTTTCCATATATATGTACTTTTTCCTTTTACAAAAAGAAGAAAAATTATTTTGCTTCCCTTTTTTTATCATCTCAATCAAAGTCAATTTGGGATAATATCATTTTTTTTTTGTTGTAATTTGGGATAATATCATGGTTATTTAATTTTAGATATTTTATTCACACAAAAGTTATATTCGATCTCCAAGAATATTCCAAAATGATAGATATCATGTTGAAAAAGCAACACAAAATCATGTTCCCTTTTTCTTCCTCCTCTTTCTATTAAAGCAAATACCTACTCTTCTTTCCTTTCTCCTATTTGAAACTTTTCAAAATTTTGTAGATTAGTCAACTTTATTTACTACTAAACACATTCAAATAACTTGTAATATAAAGCACTCTTAATTCTTTAAATTTATTTGTGTAATTCATGCGTGCAAGTTAAATATGTTTTTAGATTAAACACTAGTTTTAGTAGTAGAAGAATTAATTCAAATAGTCGATCATCAATCGCTTAAACAAAAAATAGTCGGCAGATATATATTATATATATATACACACACGTTAATTCATGTTTACTATACGTATAACCGTGTATAATTCAGTGACGAAGTCAGAAATTTCTTCAAAGGTGTTCAAATTTGAAAGAAAAAAATATCCGACAAAGGGTGTTCAATATATGTCATATGCCTTTAAAACCTAATATTTTATCTCTATATATAATATAATTTTTTGGCGAAGAGTGGTCAATCGACCACCTTTAGAAGAGCATAGTTCGCTCTGGTATAATTAATGAATAATCTATGTATACCGGCTAGAAAATAAGCATTGAATCCTACTGGCTTAAGAATTCATTTTTCTTAAATATATGATAGAGACATTTGACAACAAAATTGTCTTAGTTAATGGAAAATGCTTAAAAAATTATTTTTTGATAAAATATATTAAAAGAGTACACCATAATTAGAGAAGCAGAAGACAGACGTTACCAAAATTATTGTCCCTAGGCAAAGGGGACTTTTGTCATTTCATAGCACAGTACAAGTACCAAACAATAGAGCATATACCTGAAGTACATACATAATCCTAAAACCCTTAAATAAGAGAATATTCAAAAAGGGTACTTTAGCAAAAAAATTTAAATCAAATTCCTTCGAATCATCTACGTCACGATAGACTGCTTGCATCACACCCCTTTGAATACGATCATTTTTCGAACTCTATGTGACACAAACTCTCAACAACAACAACAACAACAACAACGTCCCAGTATAATTTCATATGTGGGGTCTGGGGAGGGTAATATGTATGCAGATCTTACCCCTACCCCGAGGGGTAGAGAGACTGTTTCCAGGAAACTCTATGTAAACATAAAATACTTTATGCACCAGCCTGTCATTTTTCTTTTATTTCTTTCGACCTATTATTTTTCTAGAATTATTGTACCTTAAAGAAACAATAATAAATAAGATTAACTACTATATTCACTAACGATATAAAAATCGCAAATAAAATTCACTAATAATTAAAAAGAATTTTTTAGCTATTGTTAGACTTATAATTTTTTATTGATTTCTTACTTCTTTGAAGTTTCGATTAATTCAAAAAGAATCATTTCGATGTTTCTTGATTTTTCACTTGAGGTTTGATATTCGTTTTAATATTCAATTAATTCAAATTCGAACTGCGTAACATCCGTTAGAACAAAAAATACTCTTTGCTAAGGTTTTTTTTTTCTTTCTAATTTTAAAGTTTAAACCAAAAATATTTAATTAATAACGAGAAATCTTATCAATTCCATCACAATCTTTAATAATATTATTACTATATATAACTTAAATCCATAATAAATACTCCTTATAATCTTCAAACCAAATCTATGTTTGACCCAAAAAAAAAACCGCATTTTCTCTCTCTATTTTCTCCTTCTTCTCTTTCTCTCTCTAAAATCACCGCCTTTCGCCGCTGTTTACTGCCAGAGAACTTCAGTCACCTTTCTTCTTTTCCCCCTTTTTCCCTCTGAAAAAGCAAAAAAGTTTGCTTTTTTCTTTTAAAAAATCAATTTTCTTGTCAAAAATTCAATCTTTTTTGCCTTTTGATTCATTACAATCTCAATGAATTTACTTCATTTTAGTTAAAACAGTTAATTAACTACAAAACCCATTTCCAGAAAAATTTCCCCTTTCTTTGATCCAACGGCGAAGATTTACCCGTTCAGTCTGTTTATTTGTCAGCTTTTCTTTTTTTAGTTTATTTTTGTCTTCTCTACGTAAGTTTCTCTCTGTCCATACTTTTTAGTTACTTATTTCTATAAATAGATTTATGTATGTATATATGAATGTATTTATGTATTTATATAGCTAACGGAGTATATTACTGTAACTAAAAACTGAGTTTTCTTCTTACTGTAGCGTTTACGTAATAAGTATAAATTAATAGTTTTTTGCATTCGAGGAGGAATTTGAGATTGGCATGCACTATGTACGTTACAATTTGGAATTTTTTTTGAATGACCTTATTGTTTGATTTTCATTTGATAGTTACACTCCTTCCGGTTTTGTTTTTGGGTATTGAATTTGTGTGATTTGATGAATTTTATGATTGAATAGTTAATTCTTTGTGGTATTAAGAACTGATTTTTGGTTAATTAGTATCACAAATATGGTTTAGAAGTTACTACTATAATTTGCTGGTGGATAGTTGTTTGAATTGTTCTTATTGTTGTGCTAACAGTCAACTCTAAACTCGCCAAGAAAAATTGTTATTTTGGTATCTAGGATATATTGTGTTGATTAATTAGAAAAGATTCTGAACTGAATTAGGATTACTAGATTCTAAAATTTAGTATAGGTCACGGGTTGGGGCTGTGGAAGATGCTTGCATCAGGGTAGGCTGCCTACATCACACCCTCTTGGGGTGCGGCCATTCCCCGGATCCTGCGTGAATGCGGGATGCCTTGTGCACCTGGTTGTCCTTTAGATTCTAAAATTTAGCAACTTACTTCCCCGGACCCCGCGCTTAGTAGGAGCTTAGTGCACTGGACTGACAATATTCATAGAAGCTAAATATAATCACACTCATTTACTGAGATATAAATTTTATTTTTAATTTTGAAGTTGCTTTATGTTTCTGTATGCTTCTATATTTTAAGGTCAGTTTTGATACAAATAGAGAGCTAAAGTCTGAAATACAATGGATTATGTGTTGGTAATTTCCATTTTATTTGGGGTGAAGGTGATAGACTTTCTTGTATATTCTTTACTGAGGGTCAGTAAATTAGAACATTGTATAGGTATGAGATTTTTTGGATCCCTTCCTTTAGTTATTGTATAGGATTCCTATCTTTACTTGCAAATTTTCCTTTAGATTGTGTTTGCTTTTAGTTTACCATTCTCAATAAAAAGAATGGGTTTGCTTTTCCTTCACTTTCCGTCTTCTTTATCCTGCTGTTGCAGAAGGAAGTCTGCTTACTTTTCTAGGATTTGCAGTAATAATTTAGTTTTCATAAGTTTGTAGTATTTGACAACGTACCTTTGATCAAATTTATTGTCATTTGTTTGTTTTATACTAGCTTGAGCCGAATAGGAAACATCCTACTATGATGTTCAATGATTTTTTTTTAAAAATGTACTCCTTATTTTTCACAACTAGAATCACTATATGAATTGGTAATCACAAACCCGTTTCTTTTTTTTATGCAGTGAAAAGGCTTAAGAAGTTGAATTCTGGCAAACTAGGCGTATGGAGCCTAATGGGCATAGAAAGGGTAACAAAAAGAATTATGTTACCTTACAAAATGGCGGTCTTAGCACATTGAATATTGATGATGAGTTGGATCCATGGACTGCTTGGGCGTACAAACCTCGCACTATTACGTTGTTGCTTATTGGTGCATGTTTACTCATGTAAGTTTGTTGATGAATAGAATCCATATTCATAGGTAAAATTATTGCGGCTAACGGTTATAATTTTTCTCGACAACTTTGTTGGGACTGAGAGGAAATTTATGGAAGGAATTCTAATTCCTCATGTCACATTCTCATGTTTCTTTGAATCTGCACACTTAATTTTTTTTGATAAGGTAAAATAATCTTTGAATCTTTATACAGTATTCGGTATCATAAATATTGGTATTGTCTGATTCTTTGTTTACTTGTTTTGGTATGGTGTAGGATTACAAAAGGAATCTCTAGATTACTGCATTTCCTTGCCTCAAACAAATTATAACTTTTAGGGAGAAAGTGGATTAGAAAATCTTACACTCGTATATTATATGGGATCCTGCATTTGGAGCTCCATATAGTTTCTCATTGAAAGGAGCAATTACTTTAGATACAACATAATTTGGCTGTTCTAAATCTTGAACTTTTGATGAGTGAAAACTAAAGAAATGATGGAAAAAAAACTAAAAAACATAGTAATTCCTGCTCCTCAGAACCCCTTTGAGGGGGAAAACACTTACAACAGTTAGAAGGTTGCACACTGTCAAGATGATCTTGTGGAGATTTTTTCTGTGTATGGTTTGGCAGAAACAAAATTTTCGGTTAATGATGTGATTATACACAAAAGAGACATCGAGTATCAAATTTACCAAGACTGCTATTCGGAGCTCTTCTATCATAATATCCTCTTGAATTTAGCAACAGTAAGCCCTGAAATTTTTCCAAATATATTTTCCTTGCATCTATTGCATTCAGAATTACTTAAGATTGGTGAAGACGTGTCTTTTTCCCTTTCTGTATGTGCCTCTTTCCTAGTTGACCTTCTTTCCTAATGTTTTTGAGCTCTTGTTGAGCTCAAGGGTGTGGTAGAGAAAAGCACTTGAAATGTTCTGTATGATCTCTTCCTTACTCATTTACTGATTGTTAATCCTTTCTTTAACTTTGCTAGCCATTGCCGAGCTTCTTCCTATTTTCCACAGCCAGTGGCATACATGGTTGAAAAGTTTCGCGCTGCCGTATCTGTGGTCTTACTAAGTTTACGATTGTGGTAGACCACCTTACTTCATCAAAAAAAAAAAAAAGAAGTTTACAATTGTGGTGGGCAAAAGCGTCTGATAAATATGATGCCTTACTAATTACTTACTGATTATTGGTTCCTTCCATTTTTGCTTGCTATTATGAAGTTTTCCTATTTTTTCTAAGGCCAATATCATATTTTTTTACTTGCTTATGTCATCATTATTGCAGTTGGGCAAGTGGAGCTCTTAATCCACAAAGCACTCCTTCTGGTGATCTTGTGGCATCTGTGAAAAGGTGTGCCGCTTTTAACATTACATTTCTGTTTATATTCTTCCACAATTTTCACGAGAAAGCTAAAGTCGTTTTGTGCCTCTTTTAGGGGTGTTTGGGCAATGATTGCAGTGTACCTTGCTTACTCTCTGCTGCAAGCCCCCTCAACGTAAGTTGTTGCTACACCCCTCCCTCCCTCCCACCTTCCCTCATCCTCTCTCTCTTGATTTTGTGGTGACTGTTGTTACAATGTGGTTGGTGAAAATGATTCACCTAAAAGAAATACTAAGACATGACTGCATTTATTCTTTGTATATCTTATTTATTGAGTGTTCTCTTCACTTCTACTTTACTACTTCTTGAATAAAAAAAAGGAATCTTATGATGTTCTCTTTTTGGTTGTGGTCTTGTGAAAGTGCTAGAGGTTGGAGTTTCTTCTTACTCTTGTTTGGTTTATCAATTAAGTTGTATTGTTTATCAATTGCAATTTATGAGCGATTTTTACCATAGTTATCTTTGATGTTCTTTCTTTACAGGGTGCTCATTAGGCCACATCCTGCCATTTGGCGCCTGGTTCATGGAATGGCTGTCATTTACCTTGTCGCTTTGACGTTTTTGCTTTTTCAGGTGGGTTTGTTAGCAGAAAGTGTTGTTCCTAATTGTATGAAGGAATGAGATAATACAATAGTTTTTATTTCTTAGCTCTCAGTTTCCTTTCCGGTATTAATCCAGCCATTCAATTGTTGCTGTGAGATATGAATACTTTGTTGTCTTTTCCTCAGAAGCGGGATGATGCTCGGCAATTTATGAGATATCTGCATCCTGATCTTGGTATTGGTAAGAATTTTGCTTGTTTGTGATGGCATTTTTGAGTCAATCAGTAATAAAATCTGTGCTGTTTATCTCCTTTGCCATGTGAATTTACAGCTTCGACATATTTTAACTTACTGTGCAGAGCTTCCTGAAAGATCCTACGGTGCTGATTGCAGAATATATGTACCTGAAAATCCCACAAACAGGTTTAAGAATCTTTATGTATGATATCTTCTTTCACAATCCTTTTACCTTTTCTTTTTTCAATTTGCTTTTTTCAAAACCTTGTATTTACAGCTTCTCTGATTGGCACATTTGCTCTGTAGGACACACTGTTTGATGAGTTTGTTTTGGCTCATATCATAGGGTGGTGGGGAAAGGCCATCATGATTCGTAATCAACCTCTTTTGTGGGTTCTATCCATTGGATTCGAGTTGATGGAGGTCAGAACCTTTCTCAGATCCTCTTGAATGGTTTCCAGCTTTTCGTTTTCCAATAACAAATAGGGAAGCGGTTCAATATTTTCCGTACTCATTAGTATTTATGTTTTCAGCTTACCTTCCGCCACATGTTACCAAACTTCAATGAATGCTGGTGGGACAGCATTATTCTTGACATATTGATCTGCAACTGGTTTGGTGAGAATCCTGAAGCCATTTGTCTTGGGCTTTTGTAAACTTTACATTCTTGACATGCTTAGGTAAACTGAGGTCCAGGGCCGGAGCTTTACGGATTCGGCCGAACCCAGTAGCTTTGATCCAAACCCTGTATTTGTCTTAAGACATTCATTGATTATGTACAAATTGTTAATTTAGAACTCAATAGCTTGAATGTACTAGAATCCCGAATCCGTAATCTTCAAATCCTGGCTCCGTCTTTGTTAATGTTATATAATCAACTGTTTATCCCACGAGTGTTTGGTTTCCCCAACATGTGATTATGGATACTATGGTTAGTCTACTGATGTTTGCATGTGCTGGTCTCTCAATTTCCGGTCATTTATAGTCAATCAAAGGGGTAAATGTGCAATCTTTTGCTTGTTAAGTGTGCTTGTTCATTTGAATTCTGAAAGCATTCCCAGATTGATGAAGTTTATCACGTGTTGTTAAATTTGCTTCTTTTAATTTGGTCTGATATGAATTACTGTATGCTGAGGTACAGTAAATAAAGACCACTGCTAGAAGAAGAATTAATCATGAGAAGGATGAAGTTTTTAATTTATGCCTTTTGTTTGTGTGAGAGAATCCCCCGTTCCCTGGATCTTAAGGGAAATTTTTTCGATAATGTCCTGAATTTGCGTCTTATTTCACCAACAGCAAATGGTAAGGAATTGTGCCTGTTTACAGAGATTAGTTGAGATAATAGCTGTTCAAGCGTGATGTTTTTGAGGCTTGACATGCATCAATATGATTATTATTTTTTTGTTAAATAAGGACTACAAGGAATAGCCACGATAATAAAAATATTAAATCCCATGGGCTGGAATCACGATAATGAAAACATTCTGCATAATTACTAATCTGTGGTTTAAGTTTGATTATGGTCATACAATTGTGTCTCATTCTCCTGGATTTTTGTGCACTAACATTATCTTTTTGATTTCCTATCTAGGCATATCGGCTGGAATGCGTACTGTTCGGTATTTTGATGGAAGAACATATGAGTGGGTTGGTATAAGCCGACAGCCAAATATCATGGGCAAGGTATGTCTGGTTAAGTGCTATGTTGGTTGTATACTTGGTTCTGGATTTTGAGGAACAACAGATATGGGGCGTTGCGTTATACATGTTCGGTACAGTTTATATTGGAAGCACTATGGTTTTGGTGTTGAACAAACGCAATTTCTGTTTTTTGTTTTGTAGGTCAAGCGAACACTTGGCCAGTTTACTCCAGCACATTGGGATAAGGATGAATGGCATCCCCTTTTAGGTCCATGGCGATTTATTCAAGTCCTTACTCTCTGTGTTATATTCTTGACCGTAGAATTAAACACATTCTTCTTGAAGTTCTGTCTTTGGATTCCTCCGAGAAACCCTCTGATAGTGTATAGGTTGGTTTTCTGGTGGTTAATTGCATTACCGACAATCCGCGAGTATAATTCTTATTTACAGGACAGGTATGTCCTACCAATAACATTATGAATAAGCTCTCTTTCATTTTTCCTAATTTCACACTTTTCCATTTACTGCTATCATATTCAGAAAACCGGTGAAAAAGGTGGGAGCATTTTGCTGGCTTTCACTGGCGATCTGCATTGTTGAGCTCCTAATTTGCATCAAGTTTGGACATGGTGAGCATTACATCTTGAATTCTCATTTTGGGAGTGTTTCAGTAGTTTTTTTTTTAAACCCAGAAATCCCCGAGGACCAGCTAGTGTTGTTCGAAAATCGACAGATAACAGACTGTCCCTTTACCCTTCTCGGCTTAAATAGTAGGCTCTAGTCCGTGCTAGGACATGCGTCTAACGCACAAATCATGCGTTGGCAAGATTAGGGCCCCGGGGGTTCATTAGTTTATATATTTTTTACTTGAAGGGGAGCCTTGGCGTAACTGGTAAAGTTGTTGCCATGTGACTAGGAGGTCACGGGTTCGAGCCGTGGAAACAGCCTCTTGCAGAAATGCAGGGTAAGGCTGCGTACGATAGACCCTTGTGGTCCGGCCCGTCCCCGGACCCTGCGCATAGCGGGAGCTTAGTGCACCGGGCTGCCTTTTCCTTTCTTTTACTTAATCTTTTTTTGTTTTGGGCCTCTTCTTTCAGGATTATTTCCCAACCCAATGCCCAAATGGGTGGTAATTTGCTGGTCATGTATTGGTACCGTCTTTGTGATATCTCTTGCTGCGTGGTCGTGCCATTTACATAGAACAATGAGGAGAAAGCGCGACTAAGTTTACCTTTGTAGTTCATCATTCTTTGCGTTCTTTTGGGTAGAATCAACCATGTTGTAAATACCCATTACCTTGTAACTGTATATGCTTTGTTATTTTTAGGTTAGATGTTACAGTTTAAACATTTAGTGAATCTCAATTCTCAATTCTTTTCAATAGGTTAAAGGTCAGTAGATGTCTTGTTTATTGAGTTGCAATATTGCTGCCTCGATTTTGCAGGCAATTTTTCGCGTTTATACAGAGTGTTGAAGTATTATCAGTTTTGACTCCCTAGTCATCTGTCTCTGTCTCTATGTGCGCGCTCACATCTTAGTCCCCCGCGCGAAAAACGCAGACTGAAGCTGAGAATCACAAAATGCAACACAACAAGGGGGTCTCCGAAACAAACGGTCCATTTATTGATGGGCGAACGACGGGGATTGAACCCGCGTGTGGTGGATTCACAATCCATTGCCTTGATCCACTTGGCTACATCCGCCCCTACCCTGCGTATCTTAGTCTTATTTATTTAATCCAATCTAATTCACATTGAATTTGAGAAAGTGGGCATGTGATATACCTATGCACTGAACTGGAAAGGAAGGGAATGAAAAGTGTGGGAAGAGTACTTTATAGTTACTTGTTTTGGGTGGAAAATAATGAAAGAGAGAAATGTTGGTTTGTGACAGCCAACTCCTCATAAGATAATAAAAGCATCGTATCAACAACAACATACCTAGTATTATCCCACATCGTAGGGTCTGGGGAGGGTAGTGTGTACGCAAGGGTAGTGTCAAGTGTGTACGCAGACCTTACCCCTGCCTTGTGAGGATAAAAAAATTGTTTCCAATAGATCCTCGGCTCAGAAAAAGCATCATATCAAGAAAAATATAAAAGATCCATATGGGAGTAAACCTGCAATATACTCCACTCAAACAAGACGGTCATTCTTGAAAGTTTCATAGGATATATAATGTGGAAATGACACTAGGTAGCCGTTTTTAAATATGCTATTTAAAATATATTCACAATTTACAATGTATTTAAAGATAATCAATTCACAAACTTTAGGACATTGTGTCGTATAGTTCGAATATTATGTCCAGAAATTAGAATTTTATGTCCTGAATTTTAAATTAGTAGCTCAGAAATTCAGGATACTAAGTCTTAAATTCCAAATTAGTAGCTCAAAAATTTAGGATACTTAGTCCCGAAATTTGGACGAATTGAATAATTTTTAAATATATTGTAAATTATGGATATATTTTAAGTAGCAGGCTTAAAAGCGGTTAATAGTGCACTTCGCCCATATAATGACGCTTTGCTGGTACAAATTGTGACAAGTACATGCAACCACTTTTCTTCATGTTGACTTGTGAATATAAATATTCTTAGTCTAAAATACAGAAGTTGACTGGTTATTCTTACTGTTTGCTTGTGTCTAAATGAAAGAATTCTATGTATTTAACTTGTATTTTAGCTGTTCTTTTCGTAGTTCTATCAACTAATTATTTATATTTGATGCTATACTCCTTGTTATTGTAAAAGAAGAAATAAGATTCTCCCATTTTAACTATGCATTTTTCTTGGGGAGAGATAAAGGATCAAAATGGTCTATTAATGAAATTTCTTGTTGGCTCAATGTAAAATACTCATTTAGCCAAGAGTTTTCAACCACATGGTAAGCTAAACAGGTCCTGACAAATAACCAACTAGTAATAATGCTATGGATGATCCATATGAATAAAAGGGCAGTTCGGTGCACTAAACTCCTGTTATCCGGGGAATTTGAGGAAGGGTCAGACCACAAAGGTGTATTGTATGCAGCCTTGCTCAGCATTTTTCCAGGAGACTGTTTCCACGGCTTGCCTTCTGACCTTCTGGTCACGTGACAACAATTTTACCACTTACACCAAGACTCCCCTTCAATGGATGACATATGAATAACTGTAATAGTATACATCGGAAAACTAACTAATATTCTCATGTACTTTCAGACATGCTGAGCTTCAAATATTCTTTTATAGTCAAAGAAGATCAATTTCGTAAAAGATGAGATCCGTAAATGACAATGACAATTTGCTGAGTTTTTTTGGGAGAGACAAGAGGAGAGGGGAGGAAAGATTTATATTCTTCAAACCAACTCATATTTGAGAATCATATTTCTATAATCACATAGATGAATACACACTTTTTCACTCAACAATAATTTGTTGGTATCAATTCTTTTCTATGATCTATACTTTTTCTTCTTTCCTTTGATCTAAAAATATCCTTATTTCCTAAAAATGCTTCTTTTGCAAATCCATGATCTTTGAATCTTCAGATTATGCTGCAATTCTCCCCTATGACTTTTACTTCAAAATTACCATATTTATTTGTATCTTCACTCAAACGTCCTTTTTAATAACAACAACAACAACGACGACCTAGTGTATTCCCACAAGTGGAGTCTTGGGAGGATGAGATGTCCGCAGCCTTACCCCTACCCTGGACGGGCAGAGAGGCTGTTTCCGATAGACCCTCAGCTAAAGAACAAATTTCCCTTTTAATAATACTTGTAAATTATGCAGGAAATGGCATAGATGGTATCTTTCTCTTCCAACTAGTCTTTCCTCTAACAATTTCTTCATTCTTGATCTGTTCTTTTATCCGAAGTAAATGTGTATAACTAAATGGCCTTTGATTAAATGACTCAAGCAATCCATTTGACTCAAGAATTCCTGATCCAAATGAAAATCCATGTAGTACACTAATTCTTCTCTTATGTTGATATTCATCAACTCCATCGTCGAAAAATCCCTCTTCATCTGGTTCACAAAGGGATTGAACAATGTTCGCGCTTCCACATTCTCTCCTATATTCTAGTATAATACTAGACAACTGATGACTCTCCAAAAAATGGTCAGGAATACCCTGCAAAAGCACATAAAACATAACCAAAAATTATTGTAGTATGTGTTTTTTGTCGTCAAGAATCATGTTGTTAGATGTTTATCTCACCTCTAGCATCCAACGAACGTATTTTACATTATTTACATGGTGATTCATGTCCAAATCACTTCTCTTTGGCTGCAAAAAAAGTAAAGATCAAATGACGAGTAACAATGAGTCTTTGGCATATATCGGAAGGGATGTTGCCATGTGACTAGGAGGTCACGGGTTCAAGCCGTGGAAACAACCTCTTGCAGAAATGCAGGGTAAGACTGCGTACAATAGACCCTTGTGGTCCTGCCCTTCCCCGGACCCCACGCATAGCGAGAGCTTAGTGCATCGGGCTGCTCTTTTTAGTCTTTGGCATATCGAGGAGATGTGAAATCTTGTTAAAAAATGCATGATCACCTTCAAATTGGAAAGGACATATTTAGCAGTGTCATCCAACTTCTCTATCTTAATTGGATTTTCTTCTTCGATTGCTAGTTTATTGATGAACCAAGGTGAGATCTCAGCCCTCACTTCTTCTGGCATCTTAGAAAGGCGCCTCGTTTGCTGGTTCATCATCACCCATGTACTGTGTTTCACACAAGAACTAAGTTACGACAATATGTTACAATAGCAACAACATACCCAGTGGAATCCCACAAGTAGGGTTTGGGGAGGATAATGTGTACGCAGACCTTACCCCTATCTTAGGAAGGTAGAGAGGCTATTTCCGATAGCCCCTCGAATCAAGAATAGTGAATCAATAGGCGTAACCGGTCACACAAGAACTAAGTCATAACATTATGTTGGTTTTACTTAGAAAAAACTCAAAAAGAGGAAGGGGAACCTTAACGTTTCTGGTAAAGTTGTTGCCATGTGACCAAGAGATAACGAGTTCGAGCCGAGGAAATAGCCTCTTGCTGAATGTAGGGTAAGGTTGTGTACGATAGATCCTTAATCCCTTATGGTCCGGCACTTTCCCGAACCCCGCGCATTGCAAAGGCTTAGTGCACCAGACTGTTCTTTACCTAGAAAAAAGAGATTGTTGAAAGATTAAAGTGGAAGCTATACCTGGTTGCCCTGGAAAATACAAGGCCTGTGGCTTGACTTCTAATTTGCCAATCTCTTCTCATTCCATTTTTGCCTGATGCTCCAACCCATGTGTCTATTTCTATTACTTCACCCCTGTGATCAAGTGTTTCAATCTTTTGTTAGGCCTATTACCATCTTCTTTACTTCTATAAAAATCAAAATTCCTAGCACAGTTGTTTGAATAAATGAATCCTTGGTACAAGAAACTCGAAAAGTTTCCTAGCGCAAAATCAAGAATTCGTGGCACGAGTAATCTCCAGCTTTACTGTAACAACAACTATGCCTCGATATCAAGTAAGTTAGGTCGACTATATGAATCGTTACTGTCCATGTTGCTCCATTTAACCTCATCTAATACCATATTATAGAAAATATTGAGAAAACTAAAAACTAAAAAGCACTAGACGTTCTCTATATTTTCTACTGGCATAACTCTCCTACAAGATGATCTAAAAGACTCCTCGAAAACATTGGACATAAAGTAAATATGGTAATATGACTAAGATCTAATTTCAGCTAGGTTAAAATGTTTGATAAGAGAATTCAATGTTACCATATTGGATAATGGTCTACTTGAACTTGCATTCTTGAAACCACCCATATGAGGTTGTGTTTCATCATCCCATGTGTAGCACCAAATCCATCACTAAGTAGTCCTGACATCCACACATGATTCAATGCTGTTTCCTGCAAAAAAGACAACATGAATTTGAATTAGTCGGGCCAGTAGGTTCTGGACACCGGATAGTTAAACAAAAGTACTACTACAACACTTCTATGCCTCAATCCCAAGCAGTGAAGGAGCCAGGATTTGAGAGGCTGCGAGTGCACTTTTTAATTCAACCAAAATCTATTTTGTATATAGGGTTTCTACTATTAATATATCATTATATTCTAAAGACATATACATGTACACATGAAATTTTTGCCGAACTTTACGGGTGCCGGTAACTCCTCTACCTAGGTCCGCCTCTGATCCGAAGCAAGTTGGGATTAGCTATATGAATCTACCTATCCATTTCGCGCTATTTATCCTCGTGGTTCGAGTTTAACAATTACTAACATTAAAATTAATGAAATTAAATTTTTTTTATTATCACCTGAAGTAAGTTAAGGATGCTTTCAATGGTAGCAGTTTTATCAGGACCAACTTCATAAGACCTTATAACAACTGTCTGTCTATATGCTCCTTCAACAATTAATCCCTGTCTATAAGTATCCACAAGTTGCTTTTTTGAAGGTATATTTTGCCTAACTTGTGACATT